GGTGGTGGTGGCGGTGGCGGTGGCGGTGGCGGCGGCGGTTGTGGTGGTGGCGGTGGCGGCGGTTGTGGTGGTGGTGGTAGCAGCAGTAGCAGTAGTAGTAGTAGTAGTAGCAGCAGTAGTAGCAGTAGTAATCATAGTATCAGTGGGAGGAGAAGGCGGAGGAGGAGAGCGCAAGCAGAGCATGTGCATCATGAAGTGGTGATGTTGACGATCGTGGTGATGCTGATCTGGAGGCGCGGCGATGGCAAATGCAACACGACCCTTCGCCTGATTTATTCCTCGGAAAAGCCTCACGAGTAGTACTGATACTGCCGTCCGTGTCAATAGTTCCATGCATAGACAACAAGGGGACGACGTCCGTTCATATGTCAAATTCTGCGACCTGCTTCAGTATTCCCGGGTTATCCTCGTTCGTCACGACTGCTCTCGCCGTTACAACGACGACTGCTGCAGTTGGCACTAGCGATACAGCCATTGCTGATCAAGGTGAATGCAGTAGCACAGCGACCGTGACTGCAGTTACTGCAACTGTTGAAGATGAGACCGTAACGGCTGAGCTTGCGGCCGTCCAGTAGATTGCAGCGATCGACCAAGGGAGCCCGATGCCGAGAAACACGTTCACGGAGTTACTGGCACAAGATTGCAGGTCTCTGCTAGCAGAGCATCAACGGAGACCACGGTGCCTAGACGACTCCATGTGAGCTGTTTAGTGGTTCAAGGTAGTGCAGTCTTGGTGCGACTGGTGCATCACCGGATCTCTGGCCCCCAAACCTCCCGCTTGCCTCCTGCTGCCGAGCACAACACTTCACCCCAACAAAGCCCCCCCCCCCCCCCCCCCCGCCCCCAACCTCCCCACCCACACACCGCTTTGGAACTCGGATGGTGCTTCAGGGTGCCTCCACGTCCCTTGCTACCACTTCTTACGCTCGCAGGGCGCATGCTGAGGCAAGCTGCTTGGTGTTCTTATGCATCTGCAAGCAGTGCAAGCGACGGTACAAAGGACTCTGCCCTTCTTTGGCAGCTGTGGTCTGGTGGGACCAGCCTGCCAGTTACGTTCACGATGGATGCATCGGCATACCTGCTTGACTGCAGGTGAGAAGCGACAGGTGAGGATATCCAGGTCATAGCAAAAGCGGTCTGAGTGAAACACTTATTGGACACTGCGGCGATCTTTGACGCAAGCAAATCTGGGACCGACCTGAGGGGACGTTCGAAGCACTGGGAGCGTCAGAAGCTCCATTGTGCACGTGAGCTTCCTGCGTGCCCAGTGCGACCACGGTGATAGCAGTAATGGAGTCCTTCCGGCGATCGACATGCTTCAAATGACCCACGACATCTGGCACAGAACACAACCCCTCCTCCAGACCAGTCACACATCCGAAAAGCTCTGCGAAGTCGCAGATCGCCTCGGCCGTGTTAACGAGCCCTCATACAGCACTGCCGGTGGCTGAAGTCAAGCTCTGAGCTTCCAGCACATGTTAATGCGCCAATACTACCTGATGTGTAGTATGCTGACGGCTCAGACACAGCTGTCGCAACTGCTCACTATGACGTGCTTGCTGACGAGCTTCCGATGGACATGACGAAGCAAATCCATCCCCCACAGTACGCGGGTGGTGGGATCAGCCTCCAATGCCCACACGACGCAAGCACTATGTAAGCAGTGGAACCTAATGGCGTGAACGGGTCAGTATTAATCTGAAGTTGAACATGCATGGGTGCCTAGACCATCTATAGCTGAGGCGTTGCCGTCAACAATTGTTTTGGCCACTCGTGCCAGCAGTTCGCAGCGCAATTTGCGGCGATTAGTCCCGGCAGGATTTGGCCAAGCTCATTAACAAAGCACGACCGTGCTTCTAATGATGAAGTTGGCATGCTGACACATCAATTACGTGCTCCCCAGCAGAGCCTACCTTTCCCCGAAAAGATTTCTCTCCGGCTGCCAACTTCAACGACTCGTTTGCGCAGCTTTCAGGACCTTGAAAGCTGAAACTCTCTCCACTGCGGAGACATGCAAACCCTCGAGGCTTTCAAAGCTGGTTGGAGCACCAACGAAGAACACGCTTCTGGACGTCTCTGCTGATCCACACCTGCCAGGGCCAAATCATGCCAAATCAGGTCTCTGCGATTTACATTCCTTGGGATAAGCTGCTGCCCAGCGACTCCGGGCTTGATCTCCAGCTCGACCTCATCTGCATCCCCGACATCTGTGATGATGGTCGGAATCCAGCGCATGTGGGACTCGGAGAAGTAAACGACTTTGTCTCCGGTAAGTGGAATTCCTGAGCGATCTGGCAGAATGTCTTCGGGAGAAGCCGCTCATGTCGACGATGTGTAAGTATTTCAAAAGCTTCTGGTGGCATCGGATGGCATCGGAATGTTGGTAGCATGCACCCAGATCCCCTTCCAAGAATTGTACACTGGACTGCAAACAAATCAGAGGCATGATCCTCCAATTTGCTGCATTCACAAGATGCACGCCATACATACAGACATAAATGAAACAGCATGTGGGATATGCAAAAAGGTCTGAATCAACAGGCTGCGAACGACAATGCATCAAGTTATCTACCATCTGAAACGGTGCTGTGAGACGTATGAGCTGCCAGGTACTATCGCAGAGCATGCAGATCCATACCATACGGTAAGAGTGTTTTTTTTTGCTCGGTGCATTTTTTTGTAAGTCACGCATTTTTGCTGCGTGCGCGGCGGGCCGACCCCAAAAAAAATAACACGGGGCGCGTTTTTTTTTGCTCCGTGCGCGGCGGGCCAACCAACAAAAAAAAACACGGGGCGCGGTTTTTTCTTTGCTGCGTGCGCGGCGGGCCGACCAAAAAAAATAACACGGGGCGCGTTTTCTTTTTGCTCCGTGCGCGGCGGGCCAACCAACAAAAAAAACACGGGGCGCGTTTTTTTTTCTCCGTACGCGGCGGGCCATTGTTGTTTCATACGCGGAGGGCCAACCAAAACAAAAAACACGGGGCGCGTTTCTTTTTGCTCCGTACGCGGCGGGCCAACCAACAACAAAAAAAACGGGCGTGTTTTTTTTGCTGCATACGCGGCGGGCCGAGGAAAAAAACAAACGCGGGGGGTGCGTTGCTAAGCAACGAATTATACGGGGCGTGATTTGTTTTGGCTCCGTACGCGGCAAAACGAGCAACAAAAACAACTCGGGGATTCCACTGGGATTCCAGTGACTGAAATCTGAGGATTTTATACGGATTGTGTAAGGATGCGCATGGGCTTGGGTTTTAGGTTTCTAATAGGATGCTTATGGGACTTTGATGTTTCGAGTAGGATTTTAGTAGGTTTGTAAGGTGCGTTTTTTTTTTGTGTTCCGCACGCGGCGGGCCGAGTAAAAAAAACACGGCGTGTGTCTTTGCTGTTCGGTACGCGGCGGGCTCTAATAGGGTTCTAATAAGATTTTAACAAGATTCTATTCCTCACTACACGGATTACACGGCCGGCTAAGCAACAAAAACAAACACGGGGTTGAGCAACAAAACAACACCTGGGTGCGTTTCTCTTTGGGACTCTAATAAGATTCTGTTAAGGTTCGATTGATCGAAATCTCATTCTTCTACACGGATTCTATTCTGGAAATTTGAACAGGCTTCGATTATAGGTATTTACCAGGATTCTTCGAGGATTTTGATAAGTTTCGAGTAGGATTTTAGTAGGTTTGTCAAACTTCTAGGATTCTAAGACTCTCTAACAGATTGTCCGAGCAAGAGAAATCACGGGGGGTGCGTTTTTGGCTTGTTCGGTTCGCGGCAGGCATCTAATGAAGTCCAGTAGTATTCTATAATGGGTTTGTGCAGATTTCAGGACTCAAATAACCCCCATCATGTGCAAATCCTTGCACCAAAAACATTGCTCATATGATCGGCTTTGGGAAAGACTCAAGAAGGAATCTCCATGCTTAGAAGCGCGGGGGAACTGGGAGGCGCATGGGCATGCAGCAGCCGAGGAATCATCGCAGGCAAGGAAAGTGCAGCTTTGTGCATGTGAAGGTCATGAACGCATGGTGACTGTAGGCATTTCATTGCACAACGTGCTTTATGGGGCTGCTTGTTCAGGTATTCGGCTGGCGCTTCCTACTTCGCGCCTTCAAACCCGAGCAGAAAGGTCGGCTTACGCAAGAAATGTAGACTGCTGGAGAAGGGAGCCACAAGGAGATGCAGTCAGGAAGCCAGGAGCGAAAGGAGGAGACAAAAGAGCTTGGAGAGCAGGATGCGTTACACGATCCGGTTCCTGTAGTTTTCAAGTACGGAAACCAATGCGAGGCAACAGGAGATTGTGAAGGCAGCTAGCAAAACCGAGCTTACTCAGTCTCAACGCCACAGCCGAATCTTCTTTTGACGCAAGTACGCAAGATCAGTGCTTCGCTGCGGCTCAGGCGTCGTCACCTGTGCGTAGACAGCTTTGCACTGTGGTAACGGCCTATGGATTGCTCGCGCATTTGCCTAATGAAAAGTCCTTCGTCTGTGGGCAGATGAAACATACTACATGAGAAAGGGACATCGTGACAACAAGTTCGCCACAGTGGGCTAGTCTCAAGGCCTGACGAGCGGAGAAGAACTTGATAGCAATGCTCGATGGCTTGCTCGTCGTTGTGGTGCATGCGAAGGGTGGCGTTGCTGCCGCGAACTTTCTTGCCGTTGCGCACCGCGAACCAAGCCTCGGTAACACATGGGGAGACATGCTTGCGAAAGCCACTGATGGTAGACGAAAAAATGCAAGGGCAATAGGCGAAAAACAATTCTTGGCCTGCAGCTAAGGCGCACTGTTGCCAGCATTGTAATAGCTGCTGGAGTCAGCGGGCAGTCGCCGACCAGCCAGCACACGGAACACGGTGGCAAAATTCGTGCCGTGCACGGTGCGGCCTCTGCCAGGAGGTGCTGGTGCGGCGGCCTCTTCATGTGTGGTTGAAACAGAGGGCGCATTTTTTCATTTGTTCTGTGCGCGGCGGGGAGAATTCACTCACTCACTGGCGCGTCTGCGGCTGTGTGTGGTTGAAAAAGCGGGCGCGTTTTTTTTTGTTGTGTGCGCGGCGGGGGAAATTCACTCACTCACTGGCGCGTCTGGGGGCGCATTCTTCTTTTTTGTTCTGTACGCGGCGGGGGAAATTCACTCACTCACTGGCGGACGCGGCTGTGTGCGGGCACGTTTTTTTTTTGTTGTTTGCGCGGCGGGGGAAATTCACTCACTCACTCGCGCGTCCGGGGGCGCGTTTTTTTTGTTGTGTGCGCGGCGGGGGAAATTCACTCACTCACTCGCGCGTCCGGGGGTGCGCTTTTTTTGCTCCGTACGCAGCGGGGGAAATTCACTCACTCACTGGCGCGTCCGGGGGCGCGTTTTTTTTTTGCTCCGTACACGGCGGGGGAAATTCACTCACTCACTGGCGCGTCTGCGGCTGTGTGGTTGGAACAGAGGGCGCTTTTTTGTTTTTGTTCCGTGCGCGGCGGGGGAAATTCACTCACTCACTGGCGCGTCTGCGGCTGTGTGTGGTTGAAAAAGCGGGCGCGTTTTTTTTTGTTGTGTGCGAGGCGGGGGAAATTCACTCACGACTGGCGCGTCCGGGATCGCGTTTTTTTTGTTCTGTGCGCGGCGGGGGAAATTCACTCACTCACTCACTGGCGCGTCCGCGGCTGTGTGTGGTTGAAACAGAGGGCGCGTTTTTTGTTTTGCTCTGTGCTCGGCGGGCCAAGCAAAAAAAAACAAGGGGCGCGGTTTTTTTTGTTCGGCACGCGGCGGGCCGAGCAAAAAAAATCTTTTTTCTAGAGCGCGCCGAGCAAAAAAAAAACACATCTTCCCATACCATACTAGTATAGCAGTGGGGCAATGTTTGTCATGCCTTTGCCCTCATGTACATGACCTCATGTTGACTCCCATTACCGAGTGTTCTCTTGCTACTTGGGAGTCTACATAAGCCTACATATCCACAACCGCTTATAGGTCACATGTCAAACTGTCAAACACGCTCGTGTTCTGCATGGGTGCATAGACACACACGCGTGACCACCACTGAAGGTAGACAAGTTTCGAAGGCGTTCCTGCTGTAGCGCAGCTCCTCACCATCAAGTTAAGGCGAGCCGCATGGGCAGAACAGAGGTTTGACGACACAAGGAAGAGGGCTGCTGCGTTAGCAGATGTTCTGGTGGCACATTAGATGTACCAGTCGCAGTCAGAGCATCGTAGTACTAGTCGTAGTCGTCGTCGTAGTAGCAACTGTTGTATTAGCAGTCGAGAGTCAGCGTAGCGCTGGAGCAATACTAGTACTGAGAGGCTACTGGAATCTAGAAAAGTGGTAGCGTTGGCATCACCACGGTAGTGGTGGCAGTGTCTGTAACACCTTGAGCTTCATCAGGTTTCATTCCCGGGCTATAGCAGCCGGTCGTGCTGAGGTGTGAGGAGGGCCTTGCCTTGCTGCCTCGTTCCGTCCCTCTGTTTCGTTCACTTCCGGGTACCATGTTCTGCGTCGTTTGAACATGATTCTCTCCTTGCTATCATCTTGCAAAAGCTTGGGAAGAGAACTGCTCAATGCCACTTCCAACAAAGAAGTTTCCCGTGCTACAGTCCAGAAAGATGTGGGAAAACAGCTGCTCCCAACCAATTACCCAACGATTTGCGAGCAAACCAAGCACTGTGGGGCCTTAGCATGAGCGCTGTGACTATCCCCGTGTCGAAACTCGAAACTCACTGTGAACTTTTAGTTCTCGAGTTGTGTAACAACCTGTAGACACCATCTGAGATCGGCACGCAAATATGTAGCCTGCTGTGCCGGGGTGATCCAGGCACTAGGCAGAACGTCGATGACAGCACAGCCGCTCTGTGCATCCTGGCAACCGCAAGCATTTGAGGGCTGTTTTGAAACGAGATGGAGCTCCACTGATCCCCCTATGGTAACATAGCTGAGGCCAACGTTCCTAGCTTGCAGACTCTTCGGTATTTTGCATTCGGGATCTTGCCTCGAGAACATCATGCCCCAACCTCAAACTTCGAAGGACGTGCCTCATGTGCCAAAATCTGGAAGCAACTGTCTGCCCCCGAGCCTGCTGAAGTATTCTGCAGGGTATCCAAGCGGAGAGGTTCAAGGAGTAGTACTCAAGCTCCTCACCTTATTCCACACGGGGACTGGTCGAATGAAGGCTTCTTTCAGGTTCGCTGTCTTGATTCCAAAACAGAAACCCTTCGCAACAAAGGTACCAGCTTTAGGGAACCGTAAAGCACGACCTTAAACTTCACCCTGCCCTACCCTCGTGCGCTAAGGCGGGAGGCTTTTGCTTTACTGGGAGGAGGCTTCAGGGAGGCTTCGTTGGATGTAACGATTTTGCAACACTCCGGAACACCAAAACCTTCACGTCAGCAACAAGCAAGTTGTCTGAGTAGTTCTTCAAGCATGAGAACCGCAATAATCCGTGTCCTGCTCATCAGCATCGTCCTTGCACTTACATCTACAGGCCACGAATTTGAACCTTGAACACAACATCCTCATCACCATCAGCATCAGCATCGTCTCCATCCCTATCATAATAATAGCCACCACCATCATCATCATCATCATCATCATCATCGCTTGGCGTCTCCGTGGCCCGGGCTTTGCAGATGCGACAGATCGAGATCTGCCGAGGATGTGGATGGCGCCACGTGCCCCTGCACCTTCGGGGGTTCGAAGGTATCGTTGCGTTTTTTGTGCGCTTCTTGGAATTGGATCTGGATTCTAATCCGAAGGCCCAGCGCTCATGTACGAAAAATTGCACCTCAAGGCCGTAGGCCTGACTGAGCGACTGGTAAGATCAAAGAAATGTGGTGATGATAATGCGACGCCTACGACGACTACGAGGATGATGATGATGATGATGATGATGATGATGGTGGTGGTGATGGTTATGCTGCTGCTGCTGCTGCTGCTGCTGCTGCTGCTGCTGCTACTACTACTACTACTACTACTACTACTACTACTACTCCTGCTGCTACTACTGCTGCTACTGCTGCTACTACTGCTGCTACTACTGCTGCTACTACTGCTGCTACTACTGCTGCTGCTACTGCTGATGCGACTGCTGATGCGACTGCTGATGCGACTGCTGCTTCTTCTCCTGCTGCTGTTACTGGAAGGATGTCCAGGACTTCTTGCTGCAATTGTCCTTGTCAAGTTTTTGTTGCACCAGTATCTTCGTCAGCGTCTTTTGCACGACGCTTAATTTGTTACCTTCATTGTTGCAGCACCACAACGCCCCAACCCCGGGCCTCACCAGAACCAAGCAAACCGGGGAGCCGCACATGGCCCTTCCTGAGCTGGAAAGCAAGGCGACGGCCGGACCAAGATTAGGATTAGGTGTGGGCTCTCGGCGACTTCAAGGATGTAAGACTTTCCGTTGAAGGTACATGAAAGCTCGAGGTTGACAGAGACGAAGGCGCGCGTGACAGGATCAGGCCTGAAGCGAAGTGCCAAGAATCTGATGGTGCAGAGGTATCCAGCAGCCCGGCTTCACATCCAGTTGTATGGAGTTCCTCAGCTGCCCAACGACTCCCTATCCCGTTCATTGCTTTCGATATCGTATGGCCCAATGCAGCTCGCTTGTTCCGAGCATCTCCTCGTCTATGCCCGTGACCCGGCTTGGAATCCAGCGACCAGCAGAGATGGACAAATACCTGTGCTGACATAGCGGCCATCCACTTGTGACTCATGATGCTACAGCCTCAACTTTCATGCACGTACGTTTACAGATGCTATGTGTGTGAGTACGTATGATTTACATGTATCTGTGTATGTGCACGCACAGGTGTGTGTGCATAGACATAAGCGGGCGGGAGCAATGTCAGTAGATGTATGTATACATTCTATGATGTCCAACATGTGATATGCTTCTCATGTACATACACACGTCCGTCTGTCGAAAAAGACAATACTGCCATTAGGAGATGCAAAATTACAGCTTTAGTCATCTACCCTCATCATTGTAGCAATACACAAAGCAACAGCAATAACAACTCCAAAATGACGACGAATGGTAGCAGGAGCCCGCTCGGGCCATTGCAGGCCAGCAACTCCACGGGCTGTCCAACAGAGAACTGGCCGTTGTCACTCTTCGCCCTTGGGTTTTCGGAAACTCATGGGGACCGGAGCAAACGAAAGCAGCACATGTTCTGCCGAAGCACCTGCCGGCTGATCCCAGCACCTGGCACAGAGTAGCTCCGAAGTCCTACAGCCTCGATCCTTCTACAGATTGAAGCTATGCATCCCAGCCCGCGGTGCGCAGTCTGGGACGTCATGCTGTGGGCAACTAACTTCTTGTTCTCATATTAGTTCATATTAGTTCTCATATGTTCTCATTGCTTCTTGAAGAGAATACACCCAGAGTCTTCGTCCAGTCCTCCTAGTCCGCGTAGGCTACAGTACTTTGGAAACAAACGCCCTCTATGCGAAATCTGAAAGCTAGCTGCCATGCTGTGGGACCCACCTTGCGTGTATCCTGTGTCGGCGACATCTCCGGGGAACGTTGCAATTCGCAGGCCCGGACACGCCGTGCTTGGTCCTGCCGGCACTTGAAAGAAAGAAACTGAAAAAAGTCTTGCTGATCACAGCGGCATAATGTACTTCCTTCCTCTCCTCACCGACATCATCATCCGCGGCATCAGCATCAGATTTCAGCGGCATCACATGGCATCACCGCTGTTGCCACGTTACCAGCGACAGCACCATCAGTGACAGCATCAACGCATGAGAAGAGGGCAAGGGGGAAGGAAGCGTAGGAGGGAAAGGGTGGGGCGACTCGTCAGGCGAATCTTTTGCCTCACTCGAGCGTGACGGAGGCTTCGCATAAAATTATGTACAGCTGAAGATTGTCCTGGATATGCCAGAAACCTTTCTGCCTCCTAGTGGGTCAACGGACATTGTCAATGATGTGCTCAGCGTAGTTGAGGCAACCCGCTGTCTTTGCTAAATATTGCCAACTGCTGACAGTTGCTGCGAGTTTCGCTTGCAAATGAAGCAGAAAGCGGGTTGAAGTTAGTGCCCATCTTGCAGGGTCGAGACCAACACGATGCACTGCAGCTTGCTGGACAATGGACCTTCAGGTTGGGGGGGGGGCTAGAAGCGGGGTTGTGTGGTGCGCATTGGGGGGTGACACATTGCAATTGACTCACACAGTGACGTGATGATGCAAATTTCCTAGGCACCATAGCTTGTTCAGTTCGCCGATGCCTTGACTGAGCCTGCGGTTAGAGCGTTTTCCAAGTACAGTAGCATCCTCAATCCGATCGAATCTTCAAGCAGCCATGTAAGAGCCTCCGTTCAATCCCATCACTGCACGTCCGACATCTAGCCTCTGTTGTGAGCCAGGTGTTCGGCTTGACATTGACCATGATGGCAGCGTCACCGCGCACATTGATGACTTCGCCTTGGGACGTGCGGAGCATGGACGGTCCAGGCAATAGTTGATGTTCTCAAGGCACAGCTGGGCCTAGCACATGGTATCCATCTGCAGGCAGTCTTGGACCAGAACTCGAGCTGCTGTCCCACGTACGCCCTGCAAAATAGCGACAGGTTTTGAGAGTCTGGCTGAGTTTATCTGCTACCTGTAGCATTTCGTCTGGCTTGCCTCACACTGTCGGGGTCCCCAGCATTCTCCTCCACAGCTGGGTTCGGATCCTGGAGCAGAGACCGGCAACGAGGAGCTCAAGCAGACAGCGCTGCAAAGCTGAGCGAACGGCCAGAGCTGGTGGAAGGATGTCGTCAAAGGGGCACAGGGGCTTCGCGGTGCTCGACAGGTTCATGAGTGCTTGTCCTGTGGCGAGGCTACGCAAACCTGGTAGCTATACAGTAAAACAAACATGGACTTCCGGAGCTTCGGAACCTGCAGCTGCCACACACAGATACGCTAAACAGACACAATGATACGATGGATACAGCAGCACTCTTTGCATGATGAGATGTACTTCGATGTGTCCGTCCGGCCTGGCAGGGATCTGGCTTCACTGTCACCAGTGTCGACCTCGCCTGTCAGCCTTTCCGTGAGAACCTGGCCGGAAAGCGCGGAACTGCACGGCAACCTCTCTCGACAGCTCCTAATGCACATGGAAGAACCATCATCAGACAAGCAATACTGTAAGTGTGGTTGCGGAGAAACAGAGCAAAAACTGCCCTTCAACATAAACCTAACCAACCGCGAATCTCGGGACTCTGCTGCTGCGCAGGGGTTTTACGGTCGACTCCGCGAAAATCGTGCCTCTTGCTGCACCTCCTGCTGCGTCAAGCTGTCCAAATCCAGCACCTGGTCAGAAAGTGGCCCTTCAACAAGATAGGTAATCGTACGTGGGACTACTCGCTAGTATATGCCAGCGCATCCTAGCATGGAGCTGCATCGAGAAAAAACATTCGCCCAATGCAAACATGATTGAATCCGATTGTGCCGTCGGGAGTCCTGCTCCATCACCTGCCTTGGCCAAAGCTGGCTGGGGAGGACAGGCTCGTCCTAGTGGCAGTGCTCTTAGCAGCACCGCAGTGGTCGCAGATTGTTACACCCAAACCCCGTCATCTGCGGGCTCCTCTTGGATGTGCTTCTCTCGGAAGACTTGGCTTGGGGTCAGTCCTTTCGGCAGCTCCTCCCAAACGGAACCGGAAGCCATGCTCAGGCACGTACTCTGAAGCAGCAGGTCGTCCTGCCCAATCACGCTCTTCTCACTGGCGCCGCGGCTGATGCTCTCGGAAGTTTCCTCAACTGCCCTTCCGGCGCTCTGGCATGCACTAGCCTCGAATGGGATGTACTGAGCGTCAGCTAGTAATCAGAGACAAATGGACTTCGAGCAGTCCAGAAGGACTCAGCACCGCGCTGGCGCCAAGGCGTAGCCCATAGCAGGCTTGCCCTGCGCCGGCGGCGACAAGTGGGACAAGTCCTTCTGCAGTGGGCACAACAATCACTGGTCAATCGGGGTATGCAATCCAAACAAGCAAAAGTGTTCCTAAAGGCTGTGCTGCCCACACTGCAAAGATGAGATTCCCACAAATCCGCTCCAAATCCTTAAACGCCGGGTCCTCCTCTACTCGCTTCTTCTCGGGCTTCGAAGTCATGGCAGAGCCTGGCAGTTGACTGTGGCTCCGGGACAGAGCAATGCCCCAAGGTGCACATCATCCTCGTATGATCTCTTATGCATATGTGGTAGACACTCACAATTTGAATATGGCGTTGAGTCAGCCGATGCCGAACTTAAAACTCAATTCCCTGCTGTGTGCCTGAGGATCTGATCGGCCGATTTCAACTTTTCAAGCATGGCTCGAAGTATCCACCAAGCCTGGCCTACCGCAGCGGTGAATGCCGAGAACTGCCTCTGCAGATCCTTCAACCTCGGGAGACTCGAGCACGAAGCGGTCTCAACTACCGCGGCAGCCTCAACAAACCCCTAAACCCTAGACCCTAAACCGATTCAACTATTCCCAACGTCATGTTTGCCTGTTTGCGGCAACGCTGTTCTTCCCCCTTGCACCTGAGAAGCTGGCCAGGTGCCGGCAGAAGGCAAGGTCTGTGGAATACGAGTAGCAATCGACGACTGCGAAGAACCTCGTGGAATTCCTGCCACGACTTGCGCGAGGTTCTGGAGTAAGCTGGTGTGTGCAGAACTTGCTGCATCTGGCGAGCTAGCCATACACTGAGAGAGCAGTGAGTAGCCATGACAGCCAGATGCGCACTAGACTCACGATGCCTCAGATCCACGATGCTTACAGCAGCAATTCTCAGTCTCATGGCAGCAGGGATCAAGAAGCAACATGATCATGAGTAAATTTTACATCAGTCCTTGCAGCATCGGATCTTCCTCCGGAATTTGCCTTGTGGCTTTCCCATCGGCAAGCTCCGGAGACGATCGGTTAAACATGGCATATGTGTTTCATCGGAAACGAGACATATCCTGTCCTGTGTTCTTCAATAAAGGGGCCCAAAACGTTCAAACATTCTCAGCTAGACCCTATCAAAATGACAAGGACAAAAAAGTCTAAAGTTCTCCCGTTGGGCTAAGTAAGTATCTACTCACGTCACACGCAGCGTGAAGTTGCAGAAGCTGTCGGGACCTTTCTTCCATGACTGGCCTGCCAAGATCAGGGCCCTCAACATCCGTCGGGCCTCCTGGACACGTTCACAAGCACTACAGTCAGGCCTAACCTATGAAAAACTTGACAAATCCCTACACCCTGAAACTTTAGGTCCCAAAAGTCCAAGCAAACAGCTCCGCTAGATTCCCCTGGGACTTCGGCTCGGGATTCAGGTTCTGCGTCTGCCGTTGGTAGGCCACAAACTTCCGCATCCGCTCCAACCTCCGAGCTTCAAGCGATCTGAAGACTACCCAAACAGGGAGCTGTTCAGGCTAGGTCTGTTTACACACACACACACACATAGAAGGCCCGAGAGAGCTGGCTTTACATGATGACATCAGCAGGCGATGGTCACCCGAAGCGCCAAACTTGCACTGGGTTGCAACAGGACTTGAAAAAAACATAAATGGACTCTCCGGCTTTGGCGATGTCCGCGTGGCGCTTTTAGAACATGGTTGAGGGCTAGCGGGCTTTTCTCGCACTGAAGCTTTGGAGTTGTTCTGCTCACTCGTTGATTCCTTCCAGCCCAAGCCCTAAACCCTAAAGGGCTTCGGGGGTTCAGGGTCGGAGTTTGAAAGCTTAAGATCTGCGGTGGGAGCTTGTGAATTTGCCGAGCGTAACTAGTGAGCTTGCAAGACCGCTTGAAGGCACAACTCTAATATACTATGAAATACCACAACACATTATCATGTACTGTTGACCACACCTCGCGAAATCAAAACCTTGGCGAACCCCTGCCGGGTGCCCAGCGCTTTCTGCAGTTGGACTGGCTCCTTTGGCGGCTCCTGGCTGTAGCCATCTGCACATTCTTTGGGATCTAGGGCCTAGGGTTCTTTTTTCAGACAGTGCGATGTGCTTTGATCGTCGCACGCACGTCGCCACGTACAACTAAACCGGCGGCGCTTTCACCGGCACTTCCTCACCAGGAGTGTCCAATCCACCGGCTCCCATTGATGCTGGATTGCTTTCGCCAGTGTCACCATGGCCTGCACGTCGGATCGCAGCACCGAGCTCGCCACGTACGACTGCAGTTGAGCGCTGGCTGTGCTTTCACTGGCACTGCCGCGCCAGGAGTGTCCAATCCACCGGCTTCCATTGATGCTGGATTGCCTTCGCCAGTGTCACCATGACTTTTCAGACAGTATCGTTGCACGCATTGAGCCAGAGTTGGACGAGGTTCGTTATGGGACAACTAGACTAACTAGACCTGACGGGTTGTCTATCGCCGATATCAACGGCTTGAGCGTTCAGCTACCAAAGTGTTTTCAGAACATGGAAGACAATCAAAAGCCACAATCACACTGTTGCTGTTTGGTCGACATACAGATCGGACCCAAAGAGTCAGCTTTGGATGGTTGAAGCAGCAAAAAGAAGAAGAGCACTTCAGATTGTTAACTGTCTGCGAGGCGGGCTTCCCTGGTGCATCCGGGAAGGCTGGCGACTTCGGGTGTAGAGCTTTGGCATGGGTTCTGGATTCCGGATCCTGTGGCACGCAAGATTTACGCCCTGGAGCCCCTCGGCTCTGGATCGCAAACAGGATAAACTACCGTGTTAGTTCATGCCAACATGACCAACAAGCATAAAGTCACTTTCACAACCGGTGTCCTGGATCCAGGAGTGCTTGAGAGCCCCCTCGGCCGTAATCCGTTCCTGGCAAGACCCACAGGTCCGACACATACCTACCAGGAATGCGTGAATCTCACCTTGATTTCTTAGATATTTGGGCGAGTGGGGAGGGGCTTGAAATGCAGTAGCAGGGGTGTCTGCTTCTAAGCAGCTGCAGCTTGTTGCTGAACCAACCTTCAGCAGAGAAACGGAGACACACGGCAAGGTGGTCTGAACTCCTCAGCTTCGAAAAAGAAAGAGGGGTCGGAGAGCCTTCACCTTCATCTTCAGCAGCATGCGGATCAGCGATTTCGCATCCTGCAGTTCTTTCAAACATAGAGCAAACCCCCGAAGCCTAAACGGTGGACAAGAGCACGGGAAAGGAAGCAGTAGATGCAGTAGCTCACACCTGGCCTGTGAGACCAATGTCCAGTCCGATGACGGAAAAGAGTAGTTCCCCCTGGCCAGCAGCTTGCACATGCACTTGTCCCCAAGCAGGCTCATGGCAACTGGCCTTCGTATCGCATTCATGACTGCTGCGTCAGTGTCTCCGCGGAAGGGCGGATAACCACAAAGAAGAATGTATAGCAGCACCTGTACGGCTCGGCGACGGAACGACATTATTTCGAGCGCAGTTTTTTAGATTCAAGTCACGTTCTTCTAAATGAACAAGGTGGGGCAAAACAAACTGCAAACTCACGATGTCTTTGAGATCACGGCGCTCAGGATCGTGTGGTGAGGAGCCTGAAAGGATACTCTGTTATAGCTCAGGCACTCCGCAGCTCCACAGGTCAATGGAGTGGTCATACTTGCACTCCAGAACCTGCCGTGTGCATTGCAACCAACACAGCCAAAGTGTTCGCTGTCCTTGCGCCTGTGGTGCAACGTAGATGGCCGTACCGGCACACTGTCGCATGGCTTCCCCACGAGTGAAGCAGCACGCCAAGCCGAAGTCTACTATCTTCCTTGGTGTCTCTGCGTAGCTCTCACATTCAGTCGCTCCATCGTGAGCTTTCCAGAACTTGTAGGATCGAACAGGGGTATACAAGAAGTCGTGCTTGAATATTGACCTCTGTCCTTCGTCTTCCTCTTATGGAGAATGGCTTCTTGACTCCCATTTTCCGTTAACTTTTCGATCATCATTGGTGTTGTGTTCGTCTTGGCGATACTTTGAAGTGGCACAGATGGTGCCTAGATTTGCAGTGAACAATAAAGACAAGCGGATTGCTTTTTTGTTACTGTGACAGTTGTGCCAGTCGTTTCTTGTCTCTAAACTCACCGATACTGACAGGCACCGTGTGTCATACCTTCTCCAGGCAGGTTGTCTCATGATCATACAACGACATTAAGCTTGCGGGGGCGCGCGCGGGCGGCGGCGCGGGCGCGGGCGCGGGAGCGGGCGGGCGTGGGCGGGGGTGTGGCCAAAAAGCTTTTCGGGGGTCCAAGGGGGTGTCCCCCTGGCGCGGTGTACGTAGGCATCTCAGTACTTAACTGCTGCTGATGATGTTTAGAGGCGGCTGTTTCTCTTCTTTGTGTCTTTGCCGCTGTCATTGACGGCATCGGTCTTGGCGGGGTTATCGATGTCTCTTCCGTTTTGTTGTTTGGTTGTTGCTGTCGTTGTCTTTGTCTTCCCTATGCTGTTGCTGCGGCTCTGACTGCTGTTGTTTTTGCTGTTGCTGTTGCCATATGCTTGACATAACTGGCAGACAAGGATCACCATATTGTCCTCGATCTGGGCTTGGCTGAGAAGCAGAGTGTTGGCATGCTTGATGTCGCGGTGGCAGATGCCAACCGAGTGCAGGTAGAGCACGGCCTGGAATACCTGCTCGACCGGGAGTTGCGATAGGCCTTATAGGAAACGAAAGCACGGCAACACAGCAACCATAGCTAGTCATGGCATCGACAGTCGCTAACTTCACCATTGTCGCCAGTTGCGTCGATTTTGCTCCAATCTCGGCGCTAAAACCGATGTCTGTCACTTGCGCTTCTTGCTCCACTGCTCCACTGAGACCTTCTAGCAGCAACACCAGGTCAACAGAAGATAGCAAACAACCCCCCTTCCACCGGGTTTCTGCGGAGGCCCGGCCCTCGCGCCTGCCGCATCACGATCACGGCCTGGGCTTCCGTGTGTCGGCCGCTTTCCAAGATGAAGCCTTCCAGGTGTAGGAATGAAGAGCAAGAGCGAGAGCAGCGATGGGAAGAGTGAGGATAACAATAATGAGGACACGAATGGCAACACCGCAACGGTGCCAAGATGGCTGATACCGTCGCTGTAATACTGATAACATTTCATACAGCAAAGAACCAGCTTCATAGTTCTAGCTCCAGAGCACACAGATACATTGATCCGTCCCGAAACCTAGCAATTCGCCACCAGAGCAGAGCTCCATGACGAGAAAGACGTTCTTCTCATCCTCCCAGCAAGACGGCTGAAGGAAAAAAACTCAACCCTAAACCCTCGCCAACTGATTTCGGGTGGACTTTGCAGAGAAATTTAAAGGAGATCAAAGCTGAGAGCCCCGGAATTCCTGAAGACCGATCTCCCATACCCCGAACCTGGATGCTGCTTTGGACTCACCTGGATGCTTCTTACCATTTGCACTACCGTGTTCAGGGATTCTCATCTATCAAAACGTCCTACGATTTGAAGTTCATATTGATATTGGGATCCGTTGTATTCTGAAACTCCCACACGTGGGTGTCCTCGAATGTTTCGTACAGCGGCACCGTGTTCGGATGATCGAGTTTCCTGGCGGAAGCTCGGCTAGGCCACGCAATGCTGCTCCTTCGGCCACCATATCGATCTTTCTGAATCCCACGTCTTTTTGAGCTTGAAAGGCGCGAGAAGGTTTAAGACCCTCTTTTCCGTTTCAGGATCAAAGCTGGACTTGCCCGGCACCTCATGATGAAGATCTCCTCCTTGAGCCTCTGGGCATCCCTCCTCACAAGCCGGCCAACTCTCCCCGATTTGCCTGAAGACTTAAAGCCAAGCTTGGCCAGCTAATGTGCGAACGATAGCAATTACTGGTCCCCCGCACCTGCGCATCTGCCCCAGCTGTTCTGGAGCTGTCTGCGGAGCTCGTTTCAAATCCAGCTTCGGCACCGCCTCTCTCAGATCTGGGCTTCGGGAATGGAACTCCCAGAAGCACGACATGTTGGTACTGTAGCCAACCTGCCTTGATGGCCACCGTCTCGCCCGTGCCCTTGTGGGTGGCTCCGAAGACGAAGCCGAAGCCCCCAGCACCGATCTTGTCCCCCTTGCGGGTGTAGCTATCCCATACCTCTCAGTCGGTGCTCACTTCCCCCTCAGACTCTCAGGTCTTCCTGTGTCACTAGGCAGCTGGGCCCCCGACGTTTGCATCAGTGCCGGTAACAGACCACCTTGCACTCTCTGCATCCTGGCGCGCAGCGCGGCCATGGCCTACTTCACTCCCCGGCCTAGAGCATACTCTCTGGATCTCTCTGGTTGGCTTCTGTCGCTGCAGGCCTTAGATCCAGCAGTGCCCCCTCACTACACTTCAAAGAAAGCGCAGAGATGTCCTGCATCTGCAAGGAGGATCCAGCGCCATTGCTGGCGGCTACAACGCCTTCCTCCTGAACCTTCAACTCGTGCCGCCTCTTCGTGATACAGGCTAGAAAGCTAGAAGCCTTGGCATCAGCCAGCTTGGCTGGACCACTCTTCTGCACAGGTAACCTCTAGTTACTGACGATGAGCATCGCTCGCTAGTGGTTGAGGAGCTGCTGCGCCCGTTGGGGCAACTAACAACTTACAGCATCATGCAGCGCGCGGGGACATGCAGCTCACGAAGCTCTAGAGCCCAGCAGGCCCAGAAGTGCATTGCACACCAAGATGTCTTGAAACCAGCAAGCCAGTCTGCTTCTGCCAGCCTCTGTCATGCAGCCCCTACAAGCCAATAAAAGCATGCGAATATCAAACATGCACCACTTGCCTAGAATATCAAACATGCACCACTTGCCTACAATGCCCACAACGCATGTCGAAAGTCCTTTACGAATTCTCAAGCGGTTGCAGTGGCAAGACAGAGCCGCCTTGTAACCAGCACAGTTGTTTATCTACTTTGGGTGCTAAACTTGATGGCTGCCCTGGCACCAAGCACGCGGCAGAGCCAGGCACAGCTTCCAAGGCAGAGAGACGAAGTGCATGACCCAGTCGGCACACGAAGCCCTGCGAACTGGGGGCATGGCCCTTGGGCTAGTAGAGTACAGTATAGAGAACACAATATACCGTATAGAGCATATCGTCTATCGCATTTCCTGTATGGTAAAAGCGCTCTAGAAGGAGTGTATAGATAGCGTGTAGGGAAAACGGTACAGGGTACACGGTGTAGGGTAAAGCACGCAGCGCGTTTAGACATACACATGTATATGTAAGTCTGAATGTATGTATGTATTTACGTATGTAGGTATGTGTACACAAATGTACAGACAGATGGTAAGACTAATAGATAACGGTTACATAGATAGATAGATAGATAGATAGATAGACAGATAGTTAGGATGGTAGATAGCTAGGTAAGTAGACAGACAGACAGACAGACAGGCAGGCAGACAGACAAACAGACAGACAGACAGACAGACAGACACACAGACAGACAGAAGA